CTTGTTTTTCCAAGAAAAATTAACTTACAACCAGGCATTTCTGATCAAAAGAAAAAGTATTTCTGATTTAAAGGAAGCTGCACTGGGATACATTTTTTAACGTTATGCATGACCAGCTTTTTTGCTTATCAGAAAGGAATTACGGACCAAGAGCAAACAAGCAGGAGTCCAGGAATTACAGTCACTAAAGCTAAGCACAACATGATGTTAACAGCTTCATATTCTATTCTGATTCAAGCTTCATATTCTATTCTCAATCAAGGGTCTTCAGTTTTCAGATGCTATCTATGCTAGGTAAAATAAACATGATCATAAACGAAGTGTGCTTACACAAAACAGTATATAATGTGGTCAGTGTCAGAATTTAACATTATGTATCTGATGCTTCCAGTATTTTGAACAAAACGTTTTGCCATAAATGTTTTTAACTGGGATGGTACTTCTCAGTTGCTGACTGTGAACACACACTTCAATTACTTTATGTAGTTCTACTAACAAGTCGATGTGTGCCCTATTACCTGAATGAGATGCTGCTTTAAGAAGGACACTTTATTTCTATTTCAAGATGCTTTCTGTCTCTATAGGACTTTTTCCAGTACTGCCTGATATTGATTAACTGCAAAAAAGCTTTCCATGTACATGTTCTTGTATTGCGGTGTGGTGCTCAGCAGTCTCTGTGGTTTGTCATCCCTATTAGTTTTTCCAAAGGACTCAGGATAGAAACAGAACAGAAGTAAATCTACGTCCTTCAGTGTGACCCAGAGATAACAAGACAGACATTTTCCCCTATCTCACTAAGGGAATATTGCAGAGCGGATGCTGAAAAATGCTTGCAGCAGCTCTTACTGTAGCTTCCTGATATTTATGAGTATCCATTCCTGGTCACAATGTGCAGCACAGTTGAGAATCAAAACAATTATTCATAAAGAGGCATGGATGGAATCTTGTAGCTTTTGACTAAGGCTGGGACAAATATGTTGTAATAATTGGGGAACTAGAGCATATTGTGTGGGGTCAGCATCCCAAGCGATCAAAGACTCCTGTCCTTAGCGAACTGACATGTGATGTGCACCTCAAGCATCCTGGGCTGCATCAAAAGCAGCATGGCCAGCAGCTCCAGGGAGGTGATTCCGCCCCTCTACTTTGCTCTTGTGAGACCCCTTGGAGTACTGTGTTCAGCTTTGGCATCCTCAGCACAGGAAGGACATGGACCTGTTGGAACAAGTCCAGCAAAGAGCCACAAAGATGATCAGGGGCCTGGAGCACCTCTACTATGGAGACAGGCTGAGAGAGCTGGGGTTGTTCAACCTGGAGAAGAGAAGGCTCCAGGGAGACCTTATAGAGGCCTTCCAGAACCTGAAGGGGGCTGCAGGAGAGATGGGGAGGGACTCTTTATCATGGAGCATAGTGATAAGTCAAGGGGTAATGGCTTCAAACTGAAAGTGGAGAGATTTAGATTAGGTATCAGGAAGAAATTCTTTACAGTGAGGGTGGTGAGACACTGGAACAGGTTGCCCAGGGAAGCTGTGGATGCCCCATCCCTGGAAGTGTTCAAGGCCAGGCTGGATGTGGCTTTGAGAAAGCTGGTCTAGTGGGAGGTGTCCCTGCCCATGGCAGGGGGGTTGGAACTTGATGATCTTTAAGGACCCTTCCAACTCTAACCATTCTATGATTCTGTGATCTCTGAACTTCCTATCCAACAGCAGGCAGGTCAAATAAAGTGAGAGCCACCTCTGCTTGATAGACCTGTTTGATTACCTAGGCCATGTCAAGAAGATTTGGTTTGCTAGTTTAGGGTGAAAGAACGTGACTTAAATAGCCACTGGTAATGAAGAACTGTCGTACACGTTTCCTTTATTGTTTGAGGAAAAAAATGCAGATAAATACATATGTCATTGTATGTGGAGCACTAAATAAAGCACATGACCACTGGAGGGTCATAGATCAGTATGGTATGATTTCTTTACTGAATCAGAGCAACTCCATCTCTCCACCATTTCTCTGCATTTTCTTCCTGCAGCAGGAAGTTTTTAACTTAGTATTCAGCAAGACTGGGCATAAGAGGGATGTTTCAGCTCTAATGGGTTGAAAATATCACGCTGCAGCATTTATTTCATGCTAGAATTTTTGCAATGGAAAATATTAATATATTAATTCACTCTGCTGTTTTCAGCAATTTGTTCTTTCTCGGTGAATTGCATACGTGTGGCTTGAAGTTGTTTATTTTAATTATTCCTAAGCTCTCCCAAGTTTTTATTTGTTTTCAGAACTAAGATCAAATATCTTTATATAAAACAAATTAGCAATTTGGCATGTGAAATTTTGCCTCAGTGTCATTTGCTAGTAGGGCATAACAAGACACAAAGAAGGGGAAAAAAGTATGTTTTCAAGTTCTGAACCACACCATTTGGATTTGGACCATTTGGGAAAAACGGAGCCACTGTGAAGCTCTTCTGGGTTGACTACAAAAATTAAAAATACATCCGGTCTTCTCATGTAGATATTATTCTGAAAAGAATAGCAAAGTTTTGTCACTGCTATAGTGATTTTCATCTTGAATCATCTGTATGGATGTTAAGTATTTAATTCCCATTACAATTAGATAAAATTAATATAATCTTCCTTTGGGCACTAAGCAAACTGAGGCCCAGGTGTAGCGTTCCCCACTGTGCCCATTTTGTGTTCAGACCTCTGTGAGGTAGCTCAGATTGCTTGCTGAAGTTATCCTTCCTTAAAGATCAAGGTGTTGCAAGATCAATACCAGATTATGTTCTTTGCTATTAGCCTGAGCAGCTTTTTCTATTTCCCAGAACTTACTAATGTGCCAGTGTATAGAGGTCATCCCTTTGCTGAACTGCTGAATAATCCAGCAGGGTGTGGGGCTGAGTTCCCTCTCCAGAAGCAGAGACACAAAAGTAAAAGTCACTCCTAGGATACAGCTGAGAAGACTTTGTTCACTTTCAGCACCTCTACATCAAAAACATTAGCAAATTGGAGAATATTAGGTGAGGAGCAGAAAAAGGGATTAAAGGGCTGAGGAGACTAATGTAGGCGGTAAAATAAAAGAAATAATACCATAAACATGTTTTTGAGGTTTTCCGATTTTAAAAAAATGGGTTTTTTTAAAGATACATGTTGCAATGGCCAACAAGTTGATGTTTGCATCAAGCAGATGTTGCTCTTTGCTATTTCTTTTTAACTCGGGTGACTTCAGCCAAGAAATAAAATCTAGGTCTTATTCACTGACACTGCAACAACTGACAAGTTATAGCAGTAGTAGCTGAGCAGAAATTTAGAGGAATTATTATTATGTTGCATGTTTAACAGTGGGGCCAATTTCCTTTTTCTGTCTCACTAGAAATACATATATAAAAAGGAAACCCATGTATTAAAAGTCTATCCACGCAACAGCCTACAAGCACTTAGAAGGTATACACAAAGAAATTATAGGATTTTTTGCAAATTATGTCATTTAGTTTAAGATAATAATTTTGCCACATGCTTGAAAAAACTCACATTACGAATGGAGAGAGCAGAACTTCAAGGCTGGAACCTACATTCATTGTTTCCAGCTACTCTTCACATAGTTGTCAACCTCGTATGATAGAAATGACCCAAAGCACTGCCATGTCTTTTGTCCTTGTACTATCATTTAAGGTAGGAAATTGCCAAGTAGGACACTTGTGCAGATTATGTAATTTTGTCCCAGTCATAAATAGGACAAACACAGGAGTCCCTTTTAAACCACTTTTCATGATGACTTTTCCCATCTGTGTAATTCCGTCTGGGGAGCTACTTCCTTTCATTGTTCACGGGTTGTCTTCTTTTAGTTTTTCTCCAAAATTTTTTGTTTCTTCTTGTGGCTCTTAAGGCCTCTTAAATTTATATAGATTTATGATTGAATGAAATCTAGACCTCTGAAACAAAGGAGTACACTTCACTATGAAAACAGTTTTAGTCCAGGGACCCCACCATTCTGCATTATCAAGCGTCGTGTTGCCTCAATGGTTTGGCTTTTCTTGCAAGAAGGGCAAGAAAGTCCCTGAAGCAGAATCAAACTTCTGCTAGAAACAGCGTGGCCAGCAGAACTAGGGAAGTGATTGTACCTTGTACTTAGCACTGGTGAGGCCACACCTTGAGCACTGTGTTCAGTTTTGGGCTCCTCACTACAGGAGGGACACTGAGATTCTGGAGTGTGTTCAGAGAAGGGCAGCAAAGCTGGTGAGGGGTCTAGAGCACAAGTATCATGAGGAGCAGTTGAGGGAACTAGGATTGTTTAGCCTGGAGAAGAAGAGGCTGAGGGGAGACTTTGTCACTCTCTACAGCTACCTGAAAGGAGGTTGCAGTGAGGGGGGGGTCGATCTCTTCTCCCAAGTAACCAGCAATAGGACAAGAGGAAATGGTCTCAAGTTGCACCAGGAAAGGTTTAGACTGGATATTAGGAAAAAATTCTCCACTGAAAGGATTATCAAGCATTGGAACAGGCTGCCCAGGGAAGTGGTTGAGTCACCATCCCTGGAGGTATTTAAAAGATGGGTAGATCTCTGTGGATGTCTGTAGATGTAGTGCTGAGGGACATGGTTTACTGGTAACTTGGCAGTGCTGGGTTAACGGTTGGACTCAATAATCTTAAAGGTCTCTTCCAACAAAAGGCTTTGCCTGCCAATTGGGGCAGGGAGCAGAGGGCAGGACGCAGCCTGCGCTGCAGCTGGATGTAGGAAGGCCCCCCAGGATGGCACATGCTCCAGCTGCTGCAGCTGCCCCTGCCATCCCGCAGCGTGGCATCTAACCCAATACAGGTGTTGTGCACACTGGGAGAAAATAAGTTTGCATTTTCAAGCAAAAAATGATGCATCTCTCACAAAGCCCTGCCTACCTGGCCTTGCAGTCGCTCCTGTCTGTTTCTCATGGGTCAATAGTTACCACTTCAGTGTAGACATCATGTCCCAGTGCAGCCTTTCAGTATCGTGCCCACAGATGGTTTTTCTCTCTCTTTGCAGGGATACGTAGTTGATGAACATGCAGCCATGCAAGCTCGATGGGAAGAGGCATCTAGAGAAACAATCAAGAAGACAACCAAGCCATGCCCCAACTGCAATATTCCAGTAGAAAAAAATGGTAAATTTTTTAGTTATCTCATACTTAACTGTCTTTTAAAAGTATATGTGTACATATGCACACCATTATTCAAATAGAGGAGGAGCACACAGAGCTTGAGTCTTCCCTCTGTCACTTTATCTAAATTATCTTGAAATCACTAAATCTAAATTGCTTAGTTCTAAAGCCACTAATTAAGCTTCACAAAATGTCCAGCCATTTTATAGACTGGGAAAATAAGGCACAGAGAGATGCACAATGTAGCATTCATGTGACTGAATGTTGAGCTAGTTGTCTAGATTTTCCACTGACACTGGAAAAAAACAGACATTTGTAGGGCAAAACTCATCTCATGACAAAACAGAACATGTGTCTAATGTAGGCCAGAAGAATTGCACCTAAAAGTGGGGTGTGGAGAATTAGTCCTGCTGTAGATATCTGCATTGTATATAGCTGAATTTAGATGAGATTGATCTCAACCCAGTGACATATCCACAGCAGAAAAGCAAGTCAGAGGAAGAAATATAAGTCCTGACAAACTGGTTGCGCTAATCAATGTTTACCATGTAGGAAGAAAAGTAATTTGCTGGCACTGGGGTGGTTAAAATGGGGAACGGGAACAGTAAATAGGCTATACCCTATAGGTTCATGCTGTTCCAAGGTTTAATTGTATTTATGTTAATTAATCAAAATATATTAAAATGATTGCCTAAATATTATACAAATACTAAGTATAGAGGGTGATTCCCAGTTTTGTGGCAGCACTTATTCCAATGGGATGCTGAAAACACCTGATAGGACACTGTAAACTGCAAGGAGAGAACACTTCAAGCAGTGATTCCACAGAAATATTACTGAGGAAGAAATAGGACAGAATCCTTAAATCTGAGGTCTGATGAAAGAAAAGAAGGCAGTTGGCAGATGGAAAGTGGGAGACTTCTTCAAGCACAAGAAGCAAAAGGAGAGAAAGCATGAATTCAAGAGTGGGAAGGTGAGACAAGATTTGGCAAAGTGTAGAGAGCAAGGTGGGCAGCAGAAGAGACAGAACAGAGGGGTAAGTAAAAAAAAAAATTTCCCAGACTTGTAAAACAGGCTGGAAACCAGAAGTTTGAACTGGATTAGAAATAGAAAAATAATAATTGTGACTATGCAGACTTAACAGTTTGTGCATAGCCAAATAAAAATAAATCCCTCTGGTCAGGCTTGAAGCTGTGCTAGGACCTTTACTTTCTCTTAGACTCTGCTACAAAATCTTCACTGTTAAATTACAGGCAGTTGTCACTTGTCACAAACAGGATGTCTCTATTTGACACCATGTACACAACTCCTACTAATGTTTAGGGAAGTTTCTTGTTAAAATCCCCAATGTATCAAAAAGGAAATAAAGGCCATTATACTTTTTCTTTGAAAGAAGATATTTATTGAAAATGGATAATAAGTAGGAAAAGGCCTTTCCTTGCTTATACCCTGACCCATGTCAGAGCAGTGCCTCATACTGCAAAAGCCAAAGCCACAGCAGTGGGCTAGAATTGTTTCAACACACTGCAATTGGCTGATTGTGCTGCCATTCAGAGGGACCTCGACTGGCTGGGAAATGGGCTGAGAGAGACCCCATGAAGTCCAACAAAGGGAAATGCACGTGTACAAAATGGGGGTTGGCCTGATGGAAAGGACCTGAATGTCCTGGTGGACTACAAGTTGGACATGAGCCAGCAACACGCCCTTGCAGCAAAGGTGGCCAACAGCATTCTGGGCTGCATTAGGAGGAGCATCACCAGCAGGTTGAGGGAGATGATCCTTCCGCTCTGCTCAGCACCAGTAAGACACATCTAGAGTGGTGGGTCCCATTCTGGGCTTCCCCATACAGCAGAGACGTGGACTGGAGTGAGTCCAATGAAGGGCTGAAAAGATGATAAAAGGATTGCATAAATAAATACCTGATGGCGGGAGCAAAGAAGACAGAGCCAAATTCTTCTCAGTGGTGCCTACTGAAAGGACAGAAGGTAATGGGCAAAAACTGAAACACAGGAAACTCCATTTAAACATAAGAAAATGCTTTTTACCATGTGGGTGGTTGAAGACTGGAACAGGTTGCCCAGAAAGATACATTCAAAACCGGACTGGATGCAACCCTGAGCATCCTACTTTAGATGACCCTGCTTTGAGCAGTGTTTTGGACTGGATGATCTACAAAGGTGTCTTCCCACCTCAGTGACTCTGTGATTCTGCAAATTAAGATACGAAGCTTGAAAAGTGCAGTGTTTGCTTGCTTTGGTCATGGGTACTGCACGTGCCAGCTTCTAGGCTGACACTTGTAAACTGAAAGGAGCACTTCATTTCTGCTAAGTACAGCTGGTGTCAAGAGGCTGACGACTGTACACTGAAGTCTGCCAACAGTCCTCATTTGGGAGGAGTACACTGACTCCACACAAGAGAGTAATTCTGCCTTCCCTCCCCAAATGCTTCTGTGGACACTGTCTTTTACAAGAGACAGTGACAATGCAAATAACTTCTGTGGTAGCATTCTCTATACCAGTAACTGTTCTGTATTAGCCTGTATGGCTCTTGGCATTGTAGAAGACTTTTCTATGCCAACAACTTTTCTGTAGTAACTGAAGTGAAAGAGCGAAACAATTTCCCACAGCTGAATTCCCGGTCTGAGTGAGTTTAAACACACATCCACACCTCTCAGAGGACTGCTGTACTCACAAAGCCATAGGCCACGTTGCTCGAGGCACTCTCCACTCCAGCTGCTGCTCTCAGCTGCCATGGAGCAGAGAATGACATGATTTATGTAGCTTAGCAGGTACAGCACACGTTTGACAGGGGGTGCCTATTGGGATTTGGGTCCTGCACCAGGACTGAGACGTGTTTTATCCAGTGATGGCTTAATACAAATCGTAAGAGAGGATTGGATCTAAACTTAAAGTGCAACTGGCTGGCTATCGGTGGGCTTACATTTAAATAAGGTAAAAACATCTGGCGAATTGCATCTCTTCCACAAAAATATAAACTGACAAATAGACCTTGCTATCACAGCTAGTTTTCTCTCTGTGTCAGATGAAGCAGACAGGCCTATTTTAATAAACCAGTTCTTGCATCTCCTGCTTACCTTCTGAAAATCATTCTGGAGTGGCATTTATGAAAAAGGTGATGTAAGGGTAGCAGGTCGTACAGTAGGGAATGCATACTCCCTGGACCTCCTATCACCATCTGGAGTCAAACCAAGGTGACATTTCAGCATTTCTTCAGTATGAAGAAAGTATGCTTTTGTTTCAGTTTGAATTATACAAGAGATCTCTTTGTGTGGTAAGAAACATACTTTCCATTTGAAGTCTATTTCTGTAATGACCTTTGACAATGTTAATGTTTTATATATTACAAAATAAACATTTGATCAAGGTTGTGAGCAGAGAGATTAAAGCTGCTCTCACAGTATGGGCAAGTTAGAAATCCAACACACAGGAAACATTGAAGCAATCAAAGGCTGCTTCAGATACTAAGAAGGTCAACTCAACTTTAATTACTGATGTCATTTCAATATAATCAGCAGTCAGCCACCAAAGTCTGTATTTCCTGATTTATTCTCATTGTAAATCTCTCAGGTTTTGAATCCAAATTCAAAAAATAATTTAATTTTGTTCATCTTCTGGCTCACAGCTGGACTAGGGTAGAGTGTCCTTGAGCAGACACCTCCATGACTGGCCATGAGAGGCCACAGACCATCCTCTCTTTTTCCCACCCCTAGCGCAGTCTCTTCTACTTTCCTCCTACTCCTGCAGTCCCTCAAGTGAGCGCAGCACCTTACACCCCAATAAGAGGTAAAGTAGCAGGCTTTAGAAAGCCCAGGAAAAATATTCTTCAGGTTTGTACTTCTCTTTTATTAAGTATTCTACTTGATCACTAAATGAATGCCTAAGAAAGTTGAACACTGTTAATTGTATATTAATATATCTAAGTATTTGCCAAGTACCAAAGCCATTCTGTTGCTGTTTTGCAGGTGGCTGCATGCACATGAAATGTCCTCGCCCTCAGTGCAGATTTGAGTGGTGCTGGAACTGTGGCCTGGAGTGGAACAGAACCTGCATGGGAGATCACTGGTTTGAATAGTGGGCTGAGGCCAGCCCATGTTGCTGCTAAAGCTTGTTTTCATCAGCCTCAAATTCTGAACTCCTTGCTTAAACAAAACTCCCAGTGGTTTCAGGGACATGGAGTTCAGAAGATGGCCCAGTTTGTTGGTTTTTGCTTTCTTGCATATGCAATCATACCAAAATCACACTGAAGTTATGCCCAGGGGTATAAAGTAAGTAAAGAAAGTAATTGTATTAATAGACAGACCTGCTCATTGTGGTACAAAGCAGGGTAAATGACACCTTGTGCGGTCTGTCAGCACTGAGAGCAGACAGGGTTATCAAGAGGAACTTAGACTTTTCTAGTGAGGAATGAATAACTGCACAAGAGAGCGCAGCCTGCCTCTGTGTGTGTGAGTGCCTGAGCGTGAAGGGGGTGGAGGACGTTCCCTGCATCAGCTGTTTTTCCTTTGACCACTCCTTTGCTCATTCAGCACAATTTTTGATTTTGAGGCAGTATTTCTTAACAGCTTTCTTGGCAGAGGGAAGACTGTGGCTCTTCAGTGTTTTCTCAGGGCTCCTTCCTAACAGGCTTTCTGTGTGGGTCTTGCTTCCAAACCAAATTCTCACAGAAACACCCAGCTTTCTGCCACATTTATGCTTGTGTATTTGTAACATATGACACGAAACCTGCCTACGTGCTCATTATAGGCTTTACCATTGGAAGATTAGCTGGGGATGCAGTTTCAGCTCTAGCGTGACTGTTGTTGCAGTGGTGACTGGATCCAATTAAGTGTTGTGCAAGCTCAACTCACAGGACGTCATTTCTCTTGTGCTTACAGCAATACTTTGGACATGGCAAAGGGAGGCAGGAGAAGACTTCTCAAGGGTTTTCTCTATCATCATTCTCCTAAATGGAATTAGAATATGGATACATTTCTGACAACTCAAACAGTGTAGGGCAGAGGGACATCTTTCATTTTTCAATGTTAACACAGTAAGTAAAGCTCACTAGCATTCCCAAGCTTGAACAATCTTACTTTTTGGCGTGCTTTACATTGCTGTTTTATTCTGAAATGAAATGGGTACTGTCCACAATCAATACGCCATGTAAGGATTTGCACAATTCAGTTTTGGAAAAAAAACGCACAATAAATACAATTATCAAAATTTTAAACTTTCTTTCTTGCTTCATTTGAATACAAAGTAAGTGAGTACAAAGATATTGGGTGGGTTGTGCATTTCCTTGACTGATTCAAACTCCCAGCTAAGAGGTGAGCCCTTTGACTAAAACATACTATTAGCACAAAATAAATTCTAGGGCCATGGAGTTCTTATGTAACTGTAGAGTCCTGAAAATATGGGTGTGCCTCATATCAGTCAGCGCAGAGCAAGAAGCTTGAGGAATAAAGAAATTGGCTCACTACAAAAGTGTCTAATTGCTAAAATCAGTGGAGTATTCATCTGTGTCAGCTGGAAGACTGTTTCGTCAGACATTAAAAGTCTGACGAAACAAAGAGATCTAGGCGTGAGGTACCAAAAACGAGAGAGGGAACTGGTAGAATTAAGAAAATGAGAGAGAAAGGAAGTAGCAATGAGAGGACAATGGCCATTTCTTAAAGACCATTTTCCTTCTTGGCACTGGTGAAGTAAAATGTATGCAGAAGTAGCTACATTAAAGTGTAGGAGTGCAATAGAATGCTGCTGTGGAGCTCATTTAAGTACATTATCTTAATGGGGATATTTTATTGTGAACTCTGATTATTTCATGATTTGATTTTCTATACCTGGGTCTATTTTATAATTTATATGGCTTGTTGCCAACAGGCTAGGGAAAAAAAATGACAATGCTTGCTTTTACTTTGATAGTGTGTTACATGGGAGCTCATCACTTCATGTCCACAAACAGTTGGAATAAAAGAAGTCTGAATCCCTTTCCCATATTTTTTTTTAGTGTGCATCTTATAGAGAGAGAAAAACTTGTTTACTGTAAGGTAGTTTCACTGAGTTAGAGCCTGCCCTGACAAGTTAATGTTTTAATTGTCATGTAGAAACATGTAATTTTTGCCCCTGGATCAAAGTACATTGAAGTCAATGCACTTGAGATCAGCTCCTGTATTTCTGGCCTGGGCAGGGCATGGCAGGCATGAGTCATAAGACTGGAACAGAAACATCTTTTTCTTGGGAAGAACTTGTCAGAAGACGGGATTTTGAGCGTTCATCTAAGACATAAGCAAAGGCAGGCAAGTTGTTCCTAAAGAAAGAAGTTCCATTGACTCAAGATTATCCACTTTTAGAGGCTGACTTTATAAGCCCTTGTCACATAGGATTTCTTCACACAGTCTAGAGTTACCATCTGCCTCCCTAAAAAATGCATATCCTGCAGATTTTAATAGAACACATCATGCTCTTCTCTTAGTACATATACATCTGTATGCTTACACACACAAAGTTTGAGATTCCATAGGCTTTAAACCTGGTTTCTGTTTACCCTGAGATTCTCATAGTTTCCACAATTTAAAGGGCATGAAAAATCAGGACTAATACTCTGCTGACACTGTAAGAATGCTGGAATTCCTATACAGATGTGTGAATTGGACCTAAAATTCCCTACACTGATAATTTTATTTTTTTTTTTGCTTGGAAAATGCCTTTTAAAAAAACCTAAAACTTTAAAAAAAAAGTAATTGATACTATAATTTGAAACATAACAAAAGAGAACAAACCAAGTCTTCAGTGTCTATTCAGACTATTCCTCTTATTTTGGCTCTGAAGTATCAAAGTGAGATTCATTTCACCCAACTTTAGCTATCCAGTTGGTTGGGTAGTCTCAGAGGCTCACACAGAGACCTGTTGTGCACGTGTATGGTGGGTTCTACTGGGTATTAAGTACGATTGGTCATGGCTAGAGGTGTGATGGCAACATCCCTGCCAGAGGCAGGGTGCAGCTTCTCACAGGACAGCCAGGACTGCACAGCTCCCACACTTTTGGCTCTGTTGTTGGCACAGAGAGGGGAGTCTTCCTTTTTTTAAAGCTTATGAACTGGCACTGCTTGCTAGCATCCATGAAGCCAGCCTTGGCAAATGCTTCCTCTGGGTTGGCACGTGTGTCTCTGGAAGTGGTCCTGGGCAACCATGGGGGTAATGAAGAGAAACAGGACTTAAACACAAAACAAGAAGGAAGCCAACCTGAGGGCGTAAGCAGATGCAAAGTTTTCAAAAGCTTGTGGGTTTATGTTCTCTACTAGCAATATACTCTGGAAACACTAAAATTTAGCTATATGTTCCAAGAAGATGATTTATTATGGTGTTATAAAGCAAAAAAGAAGTCTGTATCTTTTTACATCCAAGTTTGCCTTTGTTAATTGAATTCTCTTTACCTTGAACCTTCTTCATCTTTCAGATTACAACAATTACAGACATGTTCTTGCTACTGCGATCTGGGCTCCTTTTAGTGTGTGTAAAATGGATTAAGTACAGGATGTATGCTGAAATATTCAATAAGAATTATCTCTATAATAATTCAACTCTATAACAACAATGAAAATCTCTAATATTTCATTTCAGCTGGCGGTGAAATCTGAATACCGAGTAGCTTAAGAAGAAAATATATAACAGCTTGGCTCCCTCAGGAAAAAGCATCTCTCAAAGCTTAGCATAAATAACACAAAGCCGTGACTTCAACTAAAATATTGTTTATATGTCTACCTTACCTCGTTGCAAACTCAAAGCCAAAGAATTTCATTTGAAAATGTACACCTCAAAAAAATTCAGTGACTAGCACTCCAGAAGAAACATTACGCCACTGTTGGGAAGCAAAGGTCACGCTCTCAAAGGACAGCATGCAATGGGGTTTAATTTTTGCATATGAATAGTAAGGTACCATCTATAGAGCTTTTTGCCTACAGATCTTGTAGATCATGTAAACTCAAGAAAAATTTACATTTGTGGAAAAGAACCTGAGGCACTTGGAGGGGACAGACCAGATTCTGAGAGATTCTGCTGCCGGGGTAGACTGGGAAGATTTGGCCCTTTGTGCCAAACTTTCTCACACTTTGAGGTAACAACAACTGCCATGTTCCTCATGTTCACTGTGCAGCTCCAAGCACTACACAAGTAAATCACTGGGTGCAGTAAGCTCAATAAGCAACACTTGTAGCAAAATAGGAAGGATAAAATGTACTATCACCTCTGAAGATTGGTTAGCCCCATGCTGATCAAATTTATCTGATTCAGTGTTTGACTAGCATGGTGATGGCTGATCTAGAGAAACCCTACACAGAGATGGAGAACTGCAGTAAAGCTTTTAACAACTAGATTTTGTTCCCATGCAGCAAAATTCTCGTGCTACCTTCAGTTCCCCTTTAAACTACAGAAGAGCCTGAAGAAGACAGCACTGGACCAAAGCTGCCAGAAGGACACCCCACGTCCAGTTGTTCCTGATGGTCCTTCAGCAACTTCAGCCCGACGTACCTGACAGCACAGCACTGACAGTGGTTCAGCAAAAAAAGGCAAATGTACTACTTTACATTTTATCTGACTTGATTGCAGTTTGTAAGGATATATTTCTATCTCTAGCAAATTTAGAAAAAAAAAAATCTCTTCCTTTTTTTTTTTTTTCAAACAAGTTTGTCTACTGATTTCTGTATGTGGTTGCCCATGTGGTTCCCCCTGTGTGTCACCTGCTGATTTCTAGCTGTGGCCCCCCTTCAGTACCAGTTTTCCACTTGATCATCTGGGAACTGCTAGCGTACATGCACTGAGTAGTCACTTCTCATATTCTGGGTAAGTACGTGCAGACCAGAAAAAAATGTAAATGGCTTTAAGCAAGCAATAAGGCAGGCAAGTTGAGAGAAGGTCATTTAATCATATGGAGAATCATATTTAACGTAGTGGTTTGTGCATCTGCAAGGAATTTTTTTTGTAGAAACCAGGTCATATGCCATTTTGGTTTTCTTCATTATTATTAATAGTGCTTTTTTCTTTGCTTTTAATTTGTTTTTCTTGTCTGTGTCTCCATTTTTCTGAATAATGGAGTAATGGTTCTATGCCAGTAGATAAAATATGCAGCAAGACATCACCTGTTACTTTACTTTTTGGCTTTTATCCCTAGAAAGCTTGAGGAATCCACATAATCCATGTAGGCAGGGAAGTGCCATTATCTGTATTTTACAGTCAGGGAATTCTGTCAAGAGAGCACAACCAGACTACATGGAGGCAACAGCTCAAATGCGCACCAGCCCTTTCCTCACAACTGGGGAAATCTGTGCTTGCACCAAAGTGGAGGCCACCAGCGTGCTGGCTCAGTGATGGCACAAGCTCAGGGAAGCAGGAAGCAAGTTTGAAGTTTAAGGTCCAAAGGACAGCAGTATGACATTAGAGACATAAAGAAATAATAATAATAAAAAGAAAGGGTCAGATTCGCAGTGGCCTAAAGAACAGTGACCTAACCTGACATCCTTTGCAACCCCTGGAAATTTTACCACTGGCTTCACTGGGAGAAGGCTAATTTAGAGACTTTGAAAATGCCATTTAATTCCACTTTTTAGCAGTACATAGGAGATCTCTGGGAGAACTTGATGTCCCAGTTTCCTCTTTGCCTCTTTGTCAGTTGAATATTTAATCTATAAAATACATTCATGCCCACTCCCTCCACCTCATTTTAGTGCAAACTAAAATCCATCAAGCACTGATGTCAGAGTTTGAAAAACTTTTAGTTAAGTACAGCTGAAGCAACACGCTGTACACCCATTCTTAGTTGATACTTGATTGTACTGTCTGCCTCATAAACAGTAATTTCAACAGCCTGCCAACTTCATCTGCTGGTTACCAGCCCAAAAACTGGTTGGATTAAAACCTTAAGTAATGCTCAAAAGATAGTGCTAAAATGAAAAGCTGCAATCAATAAAACAAAATAGTATTCAGATACTACTTCTGTTGGGGCCAATATAATGTTTTGCTTGGAATGGATGCTAAATGCTCCTGAATAGGTTCAGCCAACTAAGTGTGTTTATGCCTGGAAGCTAAACCTGGAAAGCCCTGCACTGTTCTTTTCCAAAGCAGAGAGATCACAATATGGTAAAAGGGTTGGAATTTTTTTTTAATGAATAGCCGAAATCCACATATTCCATAGCTGATGGAGTTAAAAAACAGAAAAAACAAACTACCTCACTAAGCTACACTGACATTTTTCAAGTGCTCAGTGATACCCCGAATGCCAGGCTTGCTTTTTTTTTTTTCAAATCTGCTTCTTGAAGGCAAAAATGACTGTGATATTTTCATTAAAATTAGTTAGTGAAGCTGAAATAAATTCTGATTTGCACTTGTAAGTTTTAGCAGTGATGTAACTGAATCTAAAGCTATACCTAAATATTACTCAGGCTTTGCTTAGCGAAAATTAAGGTGCTTATTAACTGAGTTGCGATCACTTAGGTTCATATTTTATTTTAGAAGTACAATGATCAAGGCTATTCCTATTGCCTCATTCTATTGGATTTTACAGAAAGCAAACATAAGCTTCAAAACAGCGCTAGCAATAAGCTCCTGCATGGTAGGATCTCTTCTCGTGTGACATTTACTGTGCACGTTAAAAACAATCAGTGACATTTTATTTTTAGTCCTCTTTATTGTGTGAGCTCCAGGGTAGAATTGAATAAATAAAAATATAAAGCCAAGTCTACACAACAGAAAGCCTACTTTTCTTGCTGTCCCAGTGCAGCTATGCCACGGACCTACCCAATACAATACACCAGCTTGGTAGACCAGTGCGGTATACAAAATAAGCTGTAGATTGGCAAATTTACATATATATTTATGCCATTATATTGCACTATTTGTTTAAGAACTTTGCCAGTCTACAAAACTCATAAGCCCCTTTCCTCCTCAGAAAGGACCTGGAGTCCTTTGTGCACCCACTGTCGCTTTCCTATTGTGTTTCCAGCAAAAAATACATATGTCATACTATTCTGCTAGTTGTGTTTATTTAAACATTTGTATTAGATTGTAAAAGGCCTTAGCCTGTACCAAGTCTCAGATAAATGATGTGTATTATGCAACAATGCTTGGTCCAAAGAAAAATGGTGTTTCTTATTGCCTTCACCCCATTATGGAAGAGAGCACCACTTTTACAAGCACTAGGCCTTGATAGATAAGATGATCTTATGAGGTCCAAGTGAAAATTTCAACTTTGAGAACTACTCAATCAATTATTTAATTGCTTGCAGGAAGAGAGAGATCCAGAAGCCTTTCTTATTAATGCAGTCATTGAGATCCAGCAACTTCCCTTGCCAGTCAATGGCATTACTAGACAGATCTCCATACCAGGAGGCTTTCCTGATACTTAATGCCACCTAATTTCTTTCCCTTTCATGGTATTAAGATCTCAGGAGTAGAAAGGTCTTGTTAATTTGTTGTGTCCAGCCTACCATCACAGGAGCCTTGTTATGTAAATCTTCCCATAAATTTTACAGAGTGCTGTGCCAAGCAATTTTTAAGTCCCATTTGCTTTCATGCCAAGGCAATTCTGGAACCTGATTTCAGTTGCTAGTGATGAGAAACCTTTTCATTCCAAGGTATTAATGGCCACCTTATCATTGTTTATCATGATATCAATATTGCTTGTAAGATTAAGGTTTTCTTTTTTCCTGTTTATGTTTCCTATTCCCTTTGTTCCCTGATTGGATGGAGCAGATAGCAATCATATCTCCACTCCATTTGTTTCATTAGGCTTAATAGGCCAAGCTAAAAAACTTGGATCAACATTTCCCTAAACATCCTAGAATCAAATTATTCTAATTTTACTTAACCTATTTTCAAGTATGAGTGCTGGATTTTTGCATACGATAGCAGGCATGGTTGCACCACCACCTTCTGTGGCATTCCTGTCTCCAATGGACACACTTCAGACACACGTCAGATCACAACACATTGTTCACATCATGCTGGCAATTTATAGTCATCCTGTGATGGCCCACCTCACCCAAAGTCTTCTTCACCTTGTTTCCAAAGTACACACTTCCAAGTGGAAAAGTATTGCATAAATTTGGACAGATGGCTGTGATATAATGGATTAATTCCCCACCCTCATCTCTCTCTCTCTCTCTCTTTTGGGGCTGTACAAGAAGCATGAAGAAGTTTGTTGGATTCAACCCAAAAGCTGTGCTTTATCCTGTGGTGTTACCGGGGGGGTGTTTCTACTAACTCATGGGGAGACTGAGGTTGGCATTAAAACACACCAGTGATGAAAATTGCAGAAATTATCTGATTTATTTTCACCAATTGTCTGCCTGTCTCTCTCCTGACTACAGATGAAGTTTGGAGCAACCACGCTCAGGTATCTTGGTTAAGTATCTCAAGTTGGTGGGATGACACCAGCAGCAGCCAGCCTGCTTTTGGCTACTATTTAAAGATCCCAAGGACACAGGCAGCGCAACGCCCAGCTCACCAAGGAGGACGTTCAAGTCACAGCCGGTTACAGTCAAACTTTCTCTGTGGTGGCAGTAGCCCAGTGATACGCGGATTATGGAACCAACCTTCTCACTTCATGCAGCTTCAAAGCGTGTAAGACTCTGGGGAGAGATGAGAAGAGGAGAGACATAAAGGGGGCTTTTAGTGATCTTGTTCTTGGGTTTGCCAGATTCCAGGCTGGGGCCAGTTTATCAGCAAGGAGGGAACAGGAAGTGGTTTCCAGAGGGGGTTATAATGGCTCTTTATCAGTAAGTGCCAGTGTTTGAAATAATGCCACATAATCACATCCTTATGTTTTCCTACTTAGTTTAACATCTCACTGGGAATTTTTAAAAGTACATTTTCTTTCTTTTTTTATTGAACTTACTGTACTATGGTGACTGGCAGAATATAAACTATATTGCTAGATAATAACTTTTTTTGAAAAATTAAATGGGACACGTTTTTATGGAGCTTTTTTCACTCTTTTTTTGCAGTATCTAAAAAACTTAAAATAGGATTTTGTCTTTTCTGCCATTTATGCACTTCTGAACATTTTTCCCAGAATTAGTTCTGTCTTACACTTCCTAATAGGGACTAAATAAATTGCATTCTATAGACATTGAGTAGAATATTAAGGAGGTATATTACACAGCAAGTATGATTTTGTCTCCTATATATGCTTCTTGAAACATATACTACTCTATAGAATGGATAGAGCTTTTATTTCTTTTTGTAGGAAGGAATAAAAAAACTCCTAAACTCTTTAACAAGATTTTTTTTTTTTCCAGAAAGAAAGCAAAAATAAAACAGTCCACTGGTCAGGAAATTATTCAAAAACACAAGTAACGTTTTAGCAAACTGCTTAGTGGGAAACCCAGCAGCAAATGCCAGCACCACTGGGTAAGTGGCCTCAGTGCACCCTCTCTGCAGAGAGCAATGGCTTGTCAGAAACCATTTCTCCAAAATACAGTTTAATGTTTCTGGAGACCCAGAGTCTTCCATGCTCTGACAGCAAACACAATAATATTAAAATCTTCTCATGTAGCTATAGATCCTGTGCACTTTATTCATGTCCTGCTTCAGTGAGAAAGGAAACAATAAGCTTTTTTGTACAACCTTATCCCTTTGTTACTTTCTAGTTACAGACATTGCAAATCTTGCATTGCAAACTTCATAAACCGTAGTACCATACGCCTGCTGAACTATCACAAGTACAGGAGCAATATTTTGGTCAGGATTCATTCAAAATAAGGCAGTCTTTGCATCAACAAATGAACTTTGTTACAAACACGTCAACCAACACAGGAAGTCAGGAACAAGGGAATATGCCTCCTGACCTGCCTCTGGTGACTTGTCTGGCCTTGAGCAAAATGCCTTAGCATGTGTTTGCAGAACTCTCTGGCAGAATTATTCTGGGACAAAATATTTCCTCCTGTAGTAAACTGCTGAGGAGCAACAGTTGTTCCAAATATTGTTCAATATTTCTCATTTAATAGTGAAAAAGAAACAAACCAACCAACCCCAATAGGTGCTTTTGCTTCAGTTTTAGCTTCTTGTTAAACAAGAAGCTAAATAAACAAAGCAAGCATATTCTAATTTCACCAAAAATTGAGTCCTGAAGAATGAGCAGTGGTAGGAAATTTCAATTTGAAGCTAAAGGTTTTCTAGGGTTATATGTCATTGGAAGAGCTTTGGTATAAAATATTAGGCTTTTTTTTTTCCTTTTCCTGTTACAATCTCTTTTATCCTGACTCTGTAATTTTCATTAATTACAATAATAGCTATTTTATCTGAGGGACAACGTTTTGACCTTGTACACACAAACGGCTGGGTTATCAAATACCCTGTATTACAGCACAGAGGAAGTTGTTAAGTAGGATGATAAAACAATGTCACCCTCTTTCTTCTGCTGCTGTTGGAGGCTGCCTCCCCATCCTTCAGTCTCTGCCAGCCAGCAGCACTGTGCCCTACCACTGGAAGAGGCTGTGCATGAGGATTTATGACTAAAAACTGCATATAGGGTAATGGAAAAAACTGCATTTGCAGAACAAAATTTGGACTTAACACATCCTCTCTCATTGACAATCCAATTCCTCCTGTTTGAACTTGATATCAAGCTCAGTCTACATAACCTAACTCATTCCAGGGGATGACTATCACATTCCCACATACCTCTCTGGTGCAAGAGGGGCATTTAGAAGAAGCACAGATAGGCTAACTAAATCAGGCATGGATTTTCTTTGCTTTTTCTGAAGAGCAGCACCAGAAATCATGAAGGAAGTTACTCACCACTTAGGGTAAAGATGGCAGGATCAGACTCATGCCCCTGGCCTCACTTCACAGACAAGTTGTGAAAATAGACTTGGACACGTTAGTAGTCAGTACCATTAAAAATGCCCTTGAGGGTTTAAAGAACATGCAATAAATATGAGCTTGTGTTGCTGCCACACACATTGAACAAGGAAGATAAAAGAGTTTTGAAAAACTTCTCATTATATGAGGCCTTCTTATTCTTTGCTCTGAATATGGGAAGGGGTCTGCAGAAAGAGAACCGAGCAGCTATGTAAACAGAAACTTATATACTATATGAAGACCCACAGAGGAGGCAGTAAGTTTGAACAGGCCACTTTCATTCTGGCATTACAGTCTCTGAGTGGTTGACTTTGCAACATACCTTTTGCTGTTTATGTGCGTGTGTAGCATATAAACTTAACTTAAACAGTGCATTAGAACACTTAATAGCTGTACCAAGTTTGAAATCTCATGCTCATAGCCACATTTTGCTACTCAGACTCATCTCAGGATCTGTTGCATGTCTGTGCCCTCTCCCCTCTCCTTAGGAGGGGAAGCAAGGCACTGTACCTTCCATACCTTTCTGCATAGATCCGATGTCAGTGAGGACCTTGGCAAACGTCCTCTGAAGACTTTTGCTGCAGTGGCTGAAGACACTACCGTGCCAGTCTGTGTGCCCTGCCCTTCTTCTGTTACTGGCCTTATTCCAATGGCAATCAGTTAGCACTGAGCAGTTCACCTTTGGGGGTGATTTTGTTGAAAACTTGGGCCATGCCTTGGAGTAGTTAAGACACAGGCACATGTTGCTCCTTTGTAATCTACAGGATCAATAAACCAAGAGGATAGGAAGGACAGCTAGGAGACCAGTAACACCTGAAAGTGCCCCTGTGAGATTTGCCAGAGCCTGTCTGCTAAAAAGCCCCTTAGATATCTTGGTAAAACGCAGTTACAGGGCCACAGCAGGGTAAACCATTACCTACTGTCATGGAAACTCATGGAGCTACACCAGGTTTACACCAGTTAACCAGTAATACCTGTTCATAGTTCATGACCTGATAAATATTTAGCCAGCAGAAGGCAAGGTTCCCTATACCCTACACTGACCAGACATGTCAGGGCAGGGCATAGCTTCCTCTCTGCGGAGCTGCAGGTCCATCCCATTCCCACCTGCTCCCCACATCACCCCAAACAGAGCTGCCACAACCTTCCCCAAAGTGACTTGCAGTCACTCAGAGAGCCGAATGCAACTTCAAGGAATTCAACTCCCGTCTAATTAAGACAATGCAATCAAGCGGTCCGCAAACACTTAAGGATCTTCTTAATAACACTATTTTTATCAGCTTGAGTGCCAGACACTGTAGTGCGAGGTGATTGTTAGTGCTGATATCTGAAGTCAGGAGAGTTTTAGCATACTGTATTTTCCCTCATGAGCATTTGCTCTCTGTGAACCCCCTCCCTCTGCCATTACTGTGCTGGCTCCCATTTGCTGCTAGGATCCAATATAAAGTCATTTGCTCTAAATTACTTTAAAAGTACTCATGGCCATGCTTCCAAAAATACACTCCTAATAACCAGCTTCTAGGCATAATTTTAGGATACAGGAAAATGAAAGGAATAAAAAAAGGAACATACTAGAATTGCTTCTAAGTGAAAAAATTTGGGAAAGAAGGTTTTCAAGAGGTACTTTCTTGTGCGAAGATGCATATTGTCTATTTGTTTGCTTTCATTTCCTAATTCTGAAATGACTTTTAGATTCCCCCAAAAATTTATAATAAAATAGTTTATCCATAAAATTAAATAACTCCTGTTGCCCAAGCCTATCACTTGTTGCCTCCATTTAGCTGTGCAGTATTAATAGTAACATTTTAGTGGTTCTTATAAAGCCTTATTGTGCTTCATATTGTCTAGCATTATAGCAAAAGAAGACCATTAATGCCCTTAAGGTGTCACAACCCAGTTGGCTGGTGTTTCCTCCCTCCTGCCCCCTCCCGTGAGCTCTACAGTAGTAACAGAGCAGCAGTCAGAGGGCAAGTTACTCTTGGAGACACATTATATTCCCACAAAGTCCTATTCCATTAAGAAAAGAGCTGAAACTTGATAGCAAAATCCACAAAATGCTATGAATGCAACTGGATCCCTCCAGCTATGACACAGGTCTGATTCAGCACATGAGCCCAGGCATTGCTTTCGGCTGTTGGATGAAGATTACCGCTCCCTACAGAAGTCTTTACCATGGGGCTGTGCAAACCACACTTGTTTTCTCACGATGGAAACTCCTGCACGGGCAGGGCATTACCTTTATTTGAAAGTCCGTATGTTTTGGTGAGTGAATGTAACTCTGGCTATAACAACTTTCTGCTGCACTAAATGGAGCTCTGGCAAATCTCCTTGTCTTCCTAGAAACATTATTAATTTCAAGTGCATTTGGGGAAAGTCCCCTTGGCACAACTCAGTGTAGAAGGGAGGGTCCACTTAGGATTGTAATTGTTTGACCAGTACCAATGCATAGATTTGTTTTCAAAGTTCATTTTTTTGCCTAAATAAGGTATTTGAATTAAGAAAAAAAAAAGCATTTCATACCTGCCAGATAGAAAGTTTTCCCTCGAGCAAGACTTCTTAATTTGTTGTCATGATGGTATCGCGCTGCCTGATGTAGGTCTTGTAACAATGCTCACACGAGGTGGAGATCTTTCAGCCATGGGTTTTGGAATTCCATTAGCTGTGTTGAAACAAACACCATTTTTTTTAAGTTGTTTGTGATTCCCCTTAGGAAGATAAAGGTACAGAAAAAGAAGACAGCAGGACAGAAGAGACATTTAAAGTGTATAAACAAACTCAGACTACTAGGTCACTGATGTCTCAAATGCTACAACTCATTGGGGGTGGCAAGAGAAAGCAATACTTATGGAGTCAGCTGCAGCCGTCTGTCTCCGAGGAGCAGCTGGTGATGAGATGCTGTTATTAATGAAATGGGATTGCTCAGTGCTGTCGATTTACTGCAGTGAGTGTAGCCAACTCTGATTCATACTAACATTACATCTACCATGCCTGGGAGGCAGCAGGCTTTGTTGGGAGTATTGATAATACGTAGGACACCTGTGGTTTGAAACACAGGTGAAAAGCAGTAGATTCCGAGTGCTTTTGTAGGCTGTTTTGTGGTTGAATTGCCAGGTGACTGATTGACAGATCCCAGAGCTCAGAGTTTTCTGGGCTAGCGATTCTTAGTCATCTGGGAGCTGGTGAGTAGGAAATGACATTAGCTACGTTATTCAGATTGGGGGAAAAAAAAATAATCAGTGGGGTTTGTAGGATTAATAACATACTGCCAGCATGGAAGTGAGCATACAAATAAGACACTTGTCAAATCACTCTGAGAATGGTTGTGGTAAACCTGTATTCCATCAAAGAGCTGGGGCTGAGCTTGCAGATCCAGGAGCTGATAAGGACATGGGCTCACCAGCTGTGTGTGTGCACAACAAGCCTTTTTTTGTTAACATTGATGGCTTGAGCTCAGGGAAAGCTGAAGTCCTGTGATAAATGAGTTAGTAGGATGACAGTGAGGATTCTCTGCAGAACAAGAGGTGTCTCCCAACAGCAATCCAGGTCCTTCAGCCCAATCAGTTTTAAATACATCACACACAAAAATATTTGATATGTACTGCACTCAGCTTTGGTACTTCTTACTGCATTTTCTACAAAACTGCATTGTTGATGTTTTTATATGTGTTTCTGATACAAATACACATCTAGTCAAAGCAATTCTGATGCTGGGCCATAGGGTCAGTCTTTCTCAGAAAGCAGTCCCTTCTACGTACTGTATATAATGGATTTCATGAGACATTATCTAAACTTGTGGTTGTGACACTCATCTGTCACAAGGTCCTGGGCGTTTGAGACCCGTTTGTGAAGCAGGCAGCCCTCTGACAGGGTCTTGCCTAGCGACTGTTCTAAGGTACTGCCTTAGTACCAAGTTTAGGTGGCCATCCCCAGGTGGTTCACCCCTCCAGGGCCGAGTGGGAGAATTGCCCAATTTCTGGCTGAGCCATTTGGGCATTTAGCCACAAGGTCACTTGGCAGTTTCCTACTGGAGAGGCATTTGGAGCAGGGCCTTTGCCTCAGACCTGAGGAACGTATTAAATTGGTGACAAGGGACCCAGCAGTCTCACACAAGTGCCCAAGGAACTTGAGGATTGGTTTCAGGACAGCCTGCCAACCGTTTGTAAGAGGTTGCTAATTACTATCAATTGCAGTGATTTTTCCAAAGGAAGTGGATTGCAATTGCAAATTCACAATTGCAATTTCACAGACCACAAAGGAGTCATCTGAATAAACAGCCTTTGATTCACCACCATCCTTTGCTGGATTCAGACTGCTGTCTAGCTCCGTACCCTGCTATCTCCTGGGCCCCGAGCTTTTCACAGAATCAAAGAACAGAAGGGAGGAAGATACAATGGGGCAGTTTGTGCCACGAAGCAAAGATGGAAGGGCTGGTTTCTAGCAGACAAAGAGAATGAGGGGCCTTATAGGGAAACAGTGCTGGGGGTTGCTGTGATTCGTGCTGGAGGCCACACTTGGGACTGAGGCGGACAAGAATACAGCTGGCACATGGGGGCAGCTGGAAGCAAAAGCAAGCTCTTGCAGAAATGGCCTGATCTTTGTGTCTGATAGTGGTTATGGAGAGGGTCTGCCATGGCACAGTGGCTGGCACTGTTTGGGAAACGGAAAAGGTGCAGCAGCATCACTTTGTGCCTACCAAAAGGCTTCCCTGGACTACATGTCTTTCTTACATCTCTGGCAAATCCTTTTAAGCTTTGCCACATACACAGGCTGCAGGACAGCATGGCACGATGGCACAGAAGTGGAACCAAACTTGTACAAAATACTATGGTTAAGGATTCAAAGGTAAATAATTAGTAGATGCCAGCAAGGCACCTAAAAAATCTTTCACATTGAGGCAATTTCACTTCAGAAAGTACATCACTCTTCCAACAATGTTCTCTTTTCATTATTGCCTGTTCTAAGAGCATCGTGGTGCTTGAAACAGCCTAAGCACTGACGCCTGCGGTTCTGAGAACTACTCTGTCATTTTTCTCACAGGTGTCCAGCCTGCTTTTGATTTCCTAGATCCTTTTCTTTTGGAGCGACTGCTGCTGAGGGGTGATCAGATGTCTTCATGAGATTTCCAGCTATTTTATGTTAAAACATTCCTGCTTTGAGGTTTTCGTGCTCACTTAAGAATTTTATGTTCAGGAACTATTTTCCTTTTCTCTGAAACTTAGTGGTTTTCTTAATACAGCATCCTTATGCAGTAGCCAGTTCTGGAGCTGTGTCTGCATCCACTGGGATCAATGAAATGCCACTGGGAGCAAGATCAGGGCAAATCATAGAAAACAGAGAACTAAGGAGTAAAGGCAGATGGCCTGTCTCCTGCTCTGACACTGGAAATATGTCATTTCCCGAGACCACAGCTTCAGAGGAGGAGAAAGATCACCTGGAAGAAATTAGAGGAAAAGTAGTGTCCTGTATGCTTTTCATACAGGACAGATTTGCTCTAGTTAGTGGGATAAGTCAGTCCAAATGTATCGTGTACTGTATTTTTTCAGTGGTATCACAGGTATTTGGCAACCCAAGGCAAAACCAGTACAAAATCTTCTCTGACTCTCTCACCCCTTTTAAGTCCTGAGCTTTTAATGCTGTTTGTCTCCATATTCCCTTATCATGTCTTATGCAATCTGTTTCTGCAATTTAGTATCAAAGATGTCCCAAATTTTTTCATTCCTTAATGTGCATAATAGACATTTACAGGTACTGTAAGAATTCAGCTTTTGCCCAATTAGCTTTTAGCTAATGCCTTTTTATTTAAAAATCTATTTCATCAACCACTGTCTCATTTTAAGAAAGAAAGCAACAGTACAGAATGCCAGGTATCTCCACTTTTGAGAGGTCAAATTGGCTCACATCCAGTATCTTAGTCTATAAGGCGTACCACTAAATTTAACCCTTGAACTCCCTAGACTTACCAGAATGCCTCCAAAGTGTGGTCTTCATGAATAACTAGCAGGCTCTACTAAGTATCCAGAATAAAAAATGACACAAATCTGTTCTTCAAACACATCAGACTGCACGGAAATAAAAAAAATAAATATATCACCATCCATTTAAAGACTGCTGCATAGTGGATATTTCCTACCACTTAACCAGGCTTTATCTCATAATTTTCTTGGGAAAGGCTCCCTAATGTTGCCTTTGGATAAAGTGGTCTTTACAGAAGTAGCACACCAGAGAACATTGGACAGAGACTGCAACAGCTGATGAAGACGAGAGTTGTGTCCTGTCTTGTGTTTCCAGTACGGACAGCGTGGCGCAGGGTTGGTGAGAGGAGCTGCAGCAGGCAACGTCTTCTTCAGTGAGCAAAGTGTAAGAATGAGTATTTTGCTTGCTTTTTCTTAAAAGTTGGGGTTTTTCTAAAATGACCTTTCCAGTTCTGTGTAATTGAACAAACAGATAAACAAATGCTAACTTCAGTGTAAATTTGGCGAGGGAACTAGAGCTGCTCCCTGGGAGAATGATTATGAAAGCTTCAAGTGTGGCTTAAAGTTGCTGTCTTTTCGCAGGATGAGCAGTCATTCACAGAGTGAGGACACTGCTACAGAATTCATTACAAGCTAGACCAAGCAGCACACAATTACTGCAGCGATTGCCATTTTCTGTAAATTTATAAAAGTTCAAAATAGCAGGCTTGCGTAGCTCATCTCTACAGGTTATTGCAGCACAAGGCAGCCTTGTACTCATCATGTCGAAATAATTATTTCCTTTTCTAGGTGAGGAAATGTACATATACAAGCAAAAAGAATGGTTGTCTGGATTTGCTCCTGACTGTTAATGTCTGTGGAACTATATATGCAGATTAGGTGTTGCCCTTGAAGACCTGGAGAGCAGCCAGTGTGCCTCTTCCCCAGAAAAGTTGATGTAAACAGTTATACATAAGCAGCGTTTGTTATTACACGCTCTGAGCGACTCCAGCTTCCAAATTGTTCAGACCAACATTTTGTTCTACAGTTTCTTATCTCTTGCTTCTGAAGAGTGGCAGTTTCCTGAGTACCCTCTAAATAGCACTTACCTTTGCAGCTCCAAAGTGATCTTTCCTCCGAGATCTTAGAGGAATTTCACCCAAACACACACATCCATGATCATGGCACTAATAGATGTTGGCATCTCTGTTTCCATGGTGTCATTGAAGCCCTCACTAGTCACCTGAGCCACCAAGTATGGGCCTGAAGTGGTTCACACAGAATTCTTCATTTTAATCCAGCTTTAAGAAAACAAATGTTTTCCTGGTGGCATTTGTTTTAGATACGTAAGCAGAGAGAAACAAAGGTCCCTCTCCTCCTCACAGGTAGGCTCAAGTTGAATACTTAAAACAGTTGTGGCAATAATATTTGCACATGTGTAAGGAGTGCTTATTTTGTGCATGTCAGTAGATGGGAAAATATTTGGTCTAACTCTGCAAAGAGTAATTTGGAAAACTTTTTGTATGGAATGATCCTTGGTATTTATGAAAGGAATTATATTCTTTAAAAATGATAAATGCACCACAATTGATAAATAGTCATTGACTTGTTCCAGAAAATGAAGGATACTGAAAGAAGAAACATGTTAAAATAAACATGTTTTTTTTCTGCATCTCAATCAGTATTCTTTTTGTATGTACTAGGTTTTTTAAAGGGCCAAATTGGACAGTTTGGAACTTAAATTCATATAATGCACCTCACACAGCTCTTTTGCTAATGCATATTCAATTAAAGAATGAGTCTATTCTAAAATTAACTGTGGCCTCAAGGTTTAGTTTTAACAGGATGTTTCCATTTGTGGGTACCATGTGGCTTCTGTGCAGGGAAGTGGGCTTTTCTGTATGAAAACAGCGGATCCACCGTACAGCTGAGGTAGCGGAGAAGCTGGCAGGTATCACAGCTACAGTTAGTCTGCACTAGAAAAACTTGCCCAGAAAAGCTAGTTATACAGGCTCTGAGTGTGTGATTTTCACTGCCACCCACCCCAACCCGGCATATTTAAACTGACACACCTGCATCTGTATTAGGACTCTTCTATCATTACAACAATGCATTGTTTTAGTATCTTTCATTTTTGATTTCCATATTTGAATAAGCTGTTAGGATATATTGACCTATGTACACATATTTTCATCTGGTTTCCTAAAGGAAAAAAATTGTCCAGTCACGCTATACACATCAATCCTTACAATAATGCTTGAACTTGTTAGCTGATTTTAATCAAGGCCAAAAAAGCAGCAGAGATCTCAGAAACAATTACTTTCCCACAGATTTCATAAAGACGGATAAGCCAAGTACAGGAAAGACTTCCTGTTATTGCCTGCACGGAGGGACAGGCTGCAGTTCAGCTTTTATTACACTCAACCTACACAGAAGAGGAACATTATGAATGCTTTTAAATGCAGGAAATATGTCTTTTATAATCCACGCCTTATTAGATATTAGAGAATCTAACCATGAGACATGCAGCAAGAGCAAACTGGGCTTCTTGAGTCCAGCTGCTCACGGCAGCATACCATAGGGCATCCCTATATATTATCCACCTCATCAGTCCAGCAGCATCAACACTACGGGTGCTGCCTCTTTCTCTAGGCTGGCATGGCTAGAACTGCAGAACTTTCCAGAACAGACAAGCCCTTGCCCGCAATTAAATTTGTGAAATCAAATTTACAAGGCACTTAAAAGTGCCTGTTGTCAGCAGGGTTGGGGTCCAGCTGTTAGAACCAGCAAGCAGTTAATTTCACTTCAGCCCTGAGAGATACCTAAGTTCCTTATGGATTGGAGTGCACGCTTTGCCCAGCAGAAGGCTGTGTTTCTTTGGTTTGTTGCTTTTTGGTGTTTTGTTGTTGTGGTGGTGGTTTTGGCTTGCTTTTTTCCTTACAAGGAGACTCGTTTAAAGTTACCCATTTCACACACAGTGGGAAATGGCCCCTGGATAGCTGGGAGGAGTCATTGCCTGGTGCAAGTTCCTGACACAAGTCTTGAGTCTTGCCCAATGCAAATAAGGTATTTGCATGCCCACAAGGCACGAACTTCACTGAGGTTGCAAACTCAAGCACTCAGAACAAGGAAATGCCAAAATTGAGAACCGAAGAAACTTAATTTAGCTGCCCTTAGCCATAAGAATTTTTTATTTTTTAAATAATCGGCACAAATCTTAACGTACTCTATTCAGTGCTCTGGACCATAGAGCTTAAGGGAAGAGAAAGATAATCTGATTCCTTTTTATCTTCTTTGTTCATAGCACCTAAAAAAAAATATGATGAGGACCTCACAAACCTTGCTTTTAAGACAGAAGTATTTTTTTGCTATGGGCTTTCCAGTCTCAGTCTTTACCATGGTATCTAACACCTTCATAAGATTAATACATTTACCTTTTAAAACCCCATTTAAATAAGAGGGGTTTATTATTTACATTTTCTTGGTTAGACTTTTGAGAAATAAAGGTACTCCATCAAAACTAGGATTTATCTCTCCACTGGAGAGTTTTCTTGGGTGTCAGGTATCCATAAATCCTATTATATTCAGCTGCAGCTTAACATCAATGAAAGCAAGAAGGCAGATTATAATATGGCTTCCCAGAAAATGGGGAACATACAAACAACCAGCTGCAGAGAGTTTGGTCTCAAGGCCAGATAAGTAAAAGATGTTCAGGCACTACCACACTCAGAGTCAGGGTGCTTGACTTTTGGACCCTTGGCTCTCAAGATAATACCTAGACTCTGCGTGAGATGCTTTGGGATAATCCTGAAAATAATCCTATACCACAAAGCTGGTTAAATTAGCTAGTAAGGGATGCTTAGGACATAGCTGTGCTACAAGTCCAGCCAGTCTCCAGAATTAAGCACATCATTCAGCGATTTTAAGTCTTCTCCTTCTGCCCGGAGGTGTCCCTTTTTTAAAATGCAGCCATAGCATCAGCCTTTTAAAGTATGGCTGGAGAAATCTCTCTCCGTGTAACAGTTCAGCAGTTGGACCACTGGCCTGAGGATATCAGTGAGCTGGATTCAACTCCTTCATGACCAAATGGGGGGAAGGTTGCTAAATCTTGAGGTCTTGAAAAGTACACTCACCCCACCAGCTGGAATGTGTCAGGGTGGCATTGCCAGGTCTTAATGGCTTCAACCAGCCTCACCTGGAACTGTCATCCACACACTCTGCCTGTGGACCAGGGCTTCCTTTAAGCTAAGGTCTGCCCTCCAGTCCCTGCCTGAGCTGTCTAGTAGGTGGATGTGCCTTCAGTTTGGTCTCCTGCCTTCTTTCCTAGATGGATCCATGTGGTAGCCTGATGTCCTGCTGTTCCTGATTGGATTCTCTCTACAAACCCTGCACCTGATTCATTGTTTCATCTCGCCTAGGACTGTCGATAGACCCTGCACCATGCTGTGACTGCTCTTTTCAGGTATTGTGGGGTACCCCTCTGGCTGGGGAAGATACTGCCTGTGCTGTGGGTCACCCTTCAGCTCCAGGCTTGTCCACCCTTGAGCACCAGCCTTGTTCTTGCTGCTCCAAGACAGTTGTAGCTTCTTGTCCTTCTCAAACGCGGTATTTTAGTCAGGATGCTTCCATCTTGCTCCCTAGATAACGTCCTCCAGTGACTAGTTTGGGAAGCCTTGCTTACATCCTCCTTCTGCCCCTGTTTAATGCATAGTACAACTTCCATCGTTCAGTGCCTGCTTCAGGTACTTTTAATTGAATAAGCCAAAACCCCTTGCACCGAGGGTGAGCAGTGGTGCTGGGTGGCTGTCAGGGACCCGGACTGTAACGGGGCCCAGCTCCCCCCAACCTGCCCCTGCCCCGGGCCCAGCCTCGGGAGCCGTGCTTCAGCCACACACCCGTGGAGCTGACACCGCTGCCCCACGGATCCGCCCTCCCAGGCATCAGCACCTTCCAACGCTTTGGGTGTTTGATAGACTCACTTCTTGCCGTTCTCTATTCAGGGAGGCAGTCACAGCCTGACAGCAAACGCGCGTTTCACCGGCGGCGACCGTCAGGGCAGCGGGTGCAGGGATGACTGCCGCCCGCACCCCTCTGCCGCCGCAGCCCCCGGGCCCTGCGGACGGTGCTCCCTTCCCCGCTTCCTATTTCAAGCGCCAGGCGCTCACAGGTGCCCCTCACCCCTCGCCGACAGCGGGGCCTCCCTGCTGACGAGGGGTCAGCCCGGACGCCGCCGGCCCTCAGGGGACCCTTTCCCCGGGCCGCCGCTTCCCGCGGCTCCGGCGACTCCCCCCTCAGAGCCGGCCGCCCTTCCTTCCGCGCCGTCCCCGCCGCGCTCCTCAGCAGCGCGCCCCCCCCCGTTGGGCGGCGCCCCAAGGGGCAAAGCGAAGCCGGTGGCGGGGGGGAAGAGGGGTCGCCCCTTCCCAGCGCCCCGGGAGGAAGTGACATGGCGGCGGGGGAGGGGAGGTGAGGCGAGGCGAGGGGCGCCCTTTTCTTCCCGGAGCCGCCCGGCGGGTGGAGCCTGGCGGCCCCGCCCGAGCCGGCCGCCTCCCGGCGCGTGCAAACTAGTGGCAGTTGGTGGGGCTCGGCGGCCGCCCGCTCCCGGCGCCTCAGCGCGGCACGCATGCCAAGGCCCGGCGGCGCCAGGTACGTGCTCTTCCCCTGGCGGCCGGCGGGCTCCTCAGGTGTGGGGCCGCCCCGCTTCTCCGGCCGGCGTGGCGTGCCGCCCCGCTGGGGAAAAAAAAAAACTAAACCCAAACAGCCTAACACCACCAGCTCCCCCCTCCCCTCTTCCCCTTCTTCCCTCAAACAACCGCCCCCCGGCGGGCTGGAAGCGGCCGGGCGAGGGGCCGGCGGGGCGTGCGGGGGGCGGGCTGCGGGCAGAAGTTGTCTGATTTATTCGCTGCCGGGCCGGGTCTCCTCTACCGCCGCCGAGAATTTTCCAGCCGCCCGCCGGCCCCCTTTGTGTGGCGAGCGCGGCCCGCGCCGGGGTTTCCGTGGAAACGGCAGAGCTGCGGCAGCCTTGCCCCACTGGCCGCCCCCCCCCACCCTTTCCTCCGCCGGGCCGGGCGGTGGCGGCCCCTTCCACTTTCGGTCTTTCCCCCTCTGGCAGCGGCGGGGCCGGCGGGGGGGGGGGGG